GTGGACGGGACCCCGCTGTGCATGGGGAGGGAGCAGCCGGGTCGGGGGCTGTGCTCCGCTTCCCGTCCTCCAGTGCCCGAGAGGTTGTCCCTCTTCCCAAGGGACCTGGAGAAGGGACCTTGGCTGATTTTGGAGCCAGGGGCCGCAGCAAGGTTGTGTTATGCCGAGGGACTGACCAGCTTCTGCCTGGGAGGCAAAGCGGAGAGCTGGGAACGCAAACGTACCCTTGGCCCTGAATCACTCGCGTTGTGGGGGAGCAAGGGGGGATGCCTTGGCCCGAGCTGATCGTACTGTGGTGGGAGGCCAAGAGGCAAACCCCCTTCGAGAGAGGCTATGGGCGTGCAGCTTGGGAGAGAGAGATTGCACTTAAAAAAAACCGTTAATCTAAATGATCAAAGTAGGGATTATTTTTTAAAAGGAAAGAATAGACAAAAATCTTTAAATAAGCTACGTTAAACCTAGGATGAATGAGTGCTGGGTAACCAGGGAGGAAGCCATAAGGAGAGTGATGTTGGGGGAAGTGTCCTTCTCCTGGGACCATGTAGGCGCAGCTCACCACATCTGCCATGGACAGAACATGACCACAACCACTATCTCTGAGATGTAGCTTCCCTTGAGGTCTGATACCAGGTGTCTGAGGTGCAGCTCTCCTCAGACTGTGGTCCCTGGAAGATCTCTGTGGGGTATGAGTGATCCCAGTGTGCCTTCTCCGTCCTGAGGTTGGGCTGTGCCCACCATCCACGTTGGCACAGCAAGTGGGGCTCACTGTGGGTTGTCATGAGGGTGCAGGAAGCTCAGCTGCAGGGCTGAGGTTTCCCTCCAGAGGCGTGCAAGAGTGGCACTGCAGCCCCAGCAGGGAGGAGGGAAAGTGCTCTTCCCCTTTATGCACCCACATATCCTGCCGGCTTCTGCACTTCGGTCACAACAAGCCCATGCAGCGCTACAGGCTTGGGGAGGAGTGGCTGGATTGCTGCCAGGCAGAAAAGGACCTGGGGGTGTTGATCGACAGCTGGTGTGTCCGGCAGTGTGCCCAAGTGGCCAAGAAGGCCAACAGCATCTTGGCTTGTATCAGGAATATTGTGGCTAGCAGGACCAAGGAAGTGATTGTCCCTCTGTACTCACTCAACCCACTGGTGAGGCTGCACCTTGCATACTGTGTTCAGTTTTGGGTGCCACAGTATAAGAAAGACATGGAGGTGCTGGAGAAGGTCCAAAGAGGAGCTACACAGCTGGTGAAGGGTCTTGAGAATAAGTCTTATGAGGAGTGACTGAGGAACTGGAGCCTCCTGAGACAAGGAGGCTGAGCGGAGACCTTATTGCTGTCTAAAAGCACCTGAAAGGTTGTAGAGAGGTAGAGTATGAGTGTCTTCTCAATAGTTACAACCTATAGGACAAGAGGACATGGCCTCAAGTTATGTCAGAGGAGCTTTAGGTTAGACATTAGGAGAAACTTCTACACTGAAAGGGTTATCAAAGACTGGAAGAAGCTGCCCACGGAAGTGGTGGAATCACCATTCTTGGAAGCATTTAAAAGCTGTCCAGATACGGTGCTCAGGGACATGGTTTAGAGGTGGACATGGTAGGGTTAGATAACGGTTGGACTTGATGATCTTAAAGGTCTTTTCCAACCAGAATGATTCTATGATGATGCTATATCAGGGTGACCATGGGCTAACTTGTGGGTGGGCAAGAAGAAGAGGAGATATTGTGGAGAACAGTGTTTATTTATTTATTTTTAAGAAGTTAGTTACTTCAACAAGTGTGCCTCAGGACTCTGGCTGCCAGGATCATCTCTCCTGATTACAGCTATCCAAGCTAATATCTTTGTGGATAAGGGTAGTAGGATGGAGTGCTTGTATCCCTGAGGTGTGAGGCATGTAAGTACCATCTTTAGCCTGGCGGAGGATGGTGGAAGTGCCCGTACAGGACCTGATGGGGACTAATCAGGGCTCATGTCTTTAACCAAGGCTGTAGCTACCCTGAGGCAGGTCCGTGGATGGTAGCAGATGAGTGTGATGAGTCACTGCCTAGTCCCTATGTGCCCACATTCACAGGTGTCCCTGGTAGAGGATATAGCTACCAGGCTATAGACCAAATGACCCATGAAGGGCTCTACAGCTCCCTTGTCCCCTTGGGAGCTCCAAG